TGTGAATTCAGGCACCTAGCGGACGTGAAGTGCCAACCCCCGCGCCCCCAAACAGTCACCATCGGTGAGCAACGCACAGACTAGGGGCTGAAACCCAGGACAACCAGCTATTGCTCGGCAACCACCTGTTTCCCCGGATGTCACGGTAACGAGCTGCAGGGATAATGAGGACGAGGGAGCGTGGAAGGGAGGGAAGGAAGGGGGTCCAAGGGAGGGAGAGGAAGTTCCATATTTATAATTCATGTCATCATCAGCACCGTGGCATTTGAAATGAATTATTGATCGCGTCTCGGAAGCTTTATGTAAAAGAAATTCAGTCGGGGGGTCCTGATGGACAGGGTGTGAAGAAAGAACATAGAAGAAGACGACACAAAACTGCCTGCTGAGGCACAAGGCTGTGTTTTCAGAGAAGGTTATGGAGATAAATTATCTCTTTGGGGAGCACTGCATGAGATCATGGGGCATGGTCTGCAGCAGTGGAGGAGACACCTATGTTTTATTTAAGTGGTAATACCAAATTATAACAACACAGTGCAATAAGTGTGGGGGGAAATTGTTTGATAATTCAGTCTATAGATCATCATATTTTATGGACTCATCATGGATTTTGAATAAAGAATATTGGGTAAAAAACTAAAATCAGAGTGTAGATGTGAAATACTCTTAACTAAAGTTAATTAAGTAGAAAGTTCCTCCCCAGCGTATTGGTCAGCGGACGTACACATATTAAAACACTTGTCTTTATCCCTGAATGTTAAATTTCTCATCAAATTGGCAAAATCCGTCTTTCGTTTCAGGCAACACGGACGAGCACATGGGGAAATACTGATGTGAAAACATTAAAATAAGAGTTGAAACGGCAGAAGCATCATATTCTGCAATAAACCGGTTTAAAGCGCTGGTCCACATAGGAAGGGGAATCGGGGCCCTTAGAACACCTGCTGCCGGGGACGGGGCCACTAATGGAAGGGGACAAGCTAACCCCAGAGAGGGGCCCTCGGCCGCCTGACGCTTGAACCTCCCTCCATCACTTACTGCAGTCTCCCCCGTCTGAGCCCGACAGCCGTGGGTCTCCACCTTATCCACAGCTCTGACTCTTGTCATTCCATAACCAGCGTGTGAATCAATACCAATACCAGCGTGTGATCATCCACAGTGTACGGCCATCGTTCAGTCGCCCGTGTAATTTGTCTTGTCAAAACAGTGACACACACTTTTTCCAAGGTGAAAAATGAATGAGCCAAAGGAGACCGTTAGCTGCCCACTCGCCATGACTTTACAATGGTGCATATTTAGCCAAAATTCTAAACAGAACCGACCAAAACCGACCTCTTTGTAGCTCACCGCCAACTCGTTGTCACCGAGGCGAAATAACACTTCAAAAACACAAGGAAAATTACAAAGAAAAGGTAGATAATCAGTGAAACACAGCCAAGTAAAATATATTGGACTGCTTAACCCTGTACATATCTTTTACACCGAGCACAGACAGCAACGGTCCAATGTGCTGCTGCATGCAACATGTCCACAGATCAAGTGAGCACGGAGCCGTGCTGACCGCGTCTGACTGAGGTTAACTCCAACTTCAGTAAACGGCATCCAGGCCGGCCGGCCCAACGGCGCATGAGGCACGTTCCAGATGTTAGCGGCGCTGGGCGTGGATTCTAAGCAAATCGCTATTTTTAGCGCGGGGCGGAAATGAAAAGAGCAGAGTTCAGCGTGCGCGGGATTCCGAGTCAGCGGATGAGGGAGAGGGTAATCAAACGCTGCTCCCCAACGGCAATCGCGCTGCCCTGACACAATGGTGGCTTCGGCACGCCGCGGCCTTAGTCTTGTCACAACACACTCGCACAGCGGCTGTGAGATGAATGAGTGGCGAGGGCAGGAGAGGGAGGAAAGGGGGAGGGATGGATGGGGGCGGCGAGGAGGGAAGAAAAGCGGCAGAAATGGGAGCAGTTAGTGCAAATCAAATCAGGGGATTGGTGCGTCTCCCGCAGGTTACGACTCCCCATCTGTTCCGAGGTGCGCTGGATATAAGGTACGCCGATGATGAGCCGTGATGCGGATCAAACGTCTGGTAAAGAGGTACTTTGGCTACAAAGTGGAAGGAATAAATACCTGTGCTGCCTACTGTCAGCGGAACCAGCCTCCAAGTCGTCTGTTTCATGCAAACAATGCGCCCAAGTCGGGGGACCCGTTCCATCCGGAAGAGGCGCACAAATAAAACCCACTCTCCGTGACGCTGTGCTGTGAAGTCGACGAGCACGGGGGGCTCCAATGGCCCCCGACCCGGGTAGCCAGAGCCTGTTCAGGTGCGTTCGAAATTCACGCGAGCAACGCTGTCTGCATTCCGAAAAATAGCCTTGATTAAATGAAGACGAAGAATCCGGCAAAAAAACGTACTTCGTTCATTCCTTCCTGTCTCCCTTCCTTCGCCGCTCGGCACTCACAGACGGAAAATTAGCAAACTGTTGATGGATGGCTAACAGGTGCGGGCTAATTATGCTAATCATGGCAACAGCCAAATAAACTGATTGCCATGTTCATTTAAATGACAGCAATGTTCCTTTGGTGGCTAATTAAAACGGGTCGGGGGAGAGCAGGAAGCGAGGCGGCCGGGTTCTCGGATGGAGGGAGGCGTTTAAATAGAAGCCTCCTCTGGGGCCCACTGCAATACGCTGTATTTCATTGGTTTAATGATGTCATAATGAATCCCTCGCGATGGGTGAGGGTGTGAGGAGGAGCGGTGTGGAGATATGTGGCTACTCTCCTCCCCCCCCGCCCCCATGCGTTTAAGAGGAGGCGACAAGGGCCCGCGTTGTGTGCCACAGGGTGACCCCCCCCCCCGGTTGGAACGACTTGACGGGCAATGAGAATAAAAATCAGTCGAGGACATCTAGCGGGATATGTGCTCCATCTGTTTCAACACTGGAACGGGTAGGGGAGGGTTTTAAAGGGGTAATTACTTTTTTTTCTCCCCTTTTAGCACTGGAGACCATTTGGCCCCAGCCCCGGTTTTGCATGTGACCCGGGAAAAGGCATCATTAGAAGCAGGGATGGCGGTCAGAGGCCGGGGGAGATGAACCCCGGGGCCCCCGACAGCCACTGTGGAGGTATGAAAGGTGCATGGGGGCTGATTAATGTTTATAGAGGCAGCTGCTATCGAACCCCTCCATCGCACCTCCTCCCCCCAAAGTCCTACCATCTAATTCCACTCTTCCAGAGGAGATTGAAAATCCGCAGTTTGGGCTCTTTGGTTTGTTTTTAAAAGGAGGGACACAGTTTGCGTTCCATCTTTCCTTTGACTTTAGAAGCCGCTGCTTTTCCTCGGCTCTCCTATTATTCTTTCTTCGTCATGTAACGAACCATTAGGAGAAACAACAGCTTTTGTCCTTCATCTTCAAAACACTATCACTAAGAGCTTGATTCTTAGCCATAGCAGAAAAAAATAGAAGTATGTCCCACATTTGTGTACGGTGAAATCAAAGCAGTGATAAAACAACAATATGGGAAGAATAGACAAATGATACCGCGCTGCGATGTATATGACGGTGGTTAGACTTCCTTTTGTGTGCATTCCGATGTGCACACAAAGAAAGTCAAAGTAACAAAAGAGAAAGGAGCACATTCATTGACACGAGCTACAAAAAGAGGAAAAAAGGAACGAGAGAGGCATGAACCAGCCGGCTTTTCTCTTCCGTTTTATGAGGCATTCTCACTATTTAAATGTATGCCACATTAGTAGGGATCTGCCCAATTCAATATATTATAATGTGATGTTTGGCCTTAATGGAAAATCAATGGCCAGACAAGTCCGCCGCCGCTGCCACCATGCAAAAGCAATTTCCAAATTGACATATGGAGAGCCGGTGTGATTGATTCTGACTGCTCTTGGATTTTAATACCGTTCACTGCAAGCTCATTGACTCTCAGGCATCGTCCCGCGGTTTATCTACAACCTGCCAGTTGAGTCCTTGTCTCCTTTTTCTCCTCTCTCATCTTTTCTCCATGCGTCTTTCTTCGCGGCCCCCTCATCTCGGCCAGGAGCGGGGGGAGAGTGGATAATGCCGAATTAGATGCGTTAGATAAATGAGCGGATGGCTCTCCGCAAACGCGCCCCCCCCTCGCCGCGATTGATCACGCGGCGGTGTTGATACAGTTCATTCAGTTCTCACTTCCTCCACATTCTACGAGTTCCCTCCATCAGCGGAAACAGCAGTCGCTGACAGGCCGCCACAAACGATCATCTATCCAATGACACGGTGCTACTCTTCCGTCTGCAGCCACGGACAAACACTCAATTCATTTACAGTAACTGACTGTCTTCTCTCCTGCAGCTACCTGCTCGGTATGTCAGTCACAGGCCAAAAGCAGGAAACTGCTAAGGACACCTAAGAGGGGCCTCCAGGTCTCCTTCCTGATGTCTATATACCTTGTGAATTGGCCTTATGAATACCCATTTAATAAACACTAAAATACCACATGAAATGCCTCCACACAGCTTATATGATGTGCGAGTGAGTCAGCCAGATGTGCTGCCGGGCCGACACACACACACACACACACACACACACTGACAGACAGACATCAGCTGGAAAGCGGAGTCACGTTTTAAATGCAGTCACTTTGTGACATGTGATGAAATGTCAGACCCTGAAGTGTCTCATCGCTCCCTACTGATATTAATGCAAATGACAGATTTGACTTTGAACCGTCTTTAAACCCAAAAGGATCCCACACACACACGCAAGTAGTCTTCCACCGCGCACACACAGACACACGCGCCACATGTATGTCGGCCCATCGAACCGTGGCGACACCACCGCATGTTGCCTTCTTCATCTGGCAACTGAAGGACATCGGTTCCGCTGTTTCGAGGCGTGATCAGGGACACGGGCAGCGACGCGTCTCTAAGTAGTTACAATGTAGCCTTTGGGCTGCATAATTGTTCAGCGGGTCACAGTGTCGGATCAAGCGCCGGGTCAGGCGTCTGAACTCACCTTGCCGAAGTCCCTGACGTCGAAGAGGTCAAAGGGGTCGAACAGCTCGCTGTTGCGCAGGCCAAACTTGTCGTGGCACACCTTGAGAAACGTCCGGATGTTCTTCAGACACAGGAACTACAGAAGAGGGGAGACACACACACAAAAAGAAAAACGTAAACGCACGCTCGTGCTCAATCTCGGCTATCGTGTTGTAACGCCAGGATTAAACCCGCAGCCTGTTTTCCCTGAGAAACATGTTCCTACAGTCTGTTTGGTGTCCCCTATCAAGGCCTCAGCATTTGCGTTAAGTATTTCATTTCCTGGTTGATGATTGGCAGGCTCTTCACTTCCTCCTCTCCCGGCGTGTGTGTGTGATTACTCAGCGGGCTGATTTGGGCTCCCGGGGCTGATGGGCTGCCTCTCTTAGGTCCAGATAAGGTGGAGCTCGTCTCCTGACATCAGAGCACAGACACACGCGACCAGCGGCTAAGAACTACCCGGTTGAGTCCCTGACCTCAGGCTGAAACGGAAATGATTTTAAGAATCAGAGTCAAGGCCTTTTAGTGATTTAAAATTGGTTGTGATATTCATGAGAGAGAACAAGGGAGAAAATCACGCATCTATATACTTTCATGTCACCTAAAGGCAGCCTTATAAAAGCAGCACAAGAACACACTTCTTAGTCTCGTATGAAGATATTGACATATTGATTTATTTGCCCAGCCCGGGGAACAAGAGCCGATCACTTCAGGGTATTCAGTAATGGAGATAAGATGATGTCAAATGGGCATAGGATGAGAAAACAAAAGTAAAATAAAAAACAAGTACAGCATCCCCTCTTAATCCCAACGTTCAACACGACATTCGGTGTAAAAACGTGTTCATATTTGCAATCTAAAAAAAAAAGTAAACCAATACGTGTAATATGCAAATGCAATAAAAAGAACCTAACAACTGACAGATACAACGGCCCGGCCATTATAACAAACCATTTGGAGATCAATATCAGCTTTTTCATCATCGGCTATTTTCCAGTCCTGCAAACAAAGCATATGATAACCAGAAGGAGGCAGAATGGTGGCGAGAATACTCATAACAAAACAGCATAATAAATGCTGTCTGGTCACGGATGTCGACGGTCTCGGCCCCTCAAATATTCCATCGCACAGATGAACCCTGAGGCCCGTTGAAATATTAACGATGAGCGTAAACCTGTCTGCCATCTTCCAATGTGAGAAGAACACGTAACCGTTCATGTAAATTCAGACGCGCCTGTTGGTGGTATGACAGCATCCAGTCTTGCAAAGTCATGCTCCATCTTTGGCAATTGTGTTTGGGTATTCCAGGTCTAAAAGTCTCATTTGAACGCATACTGCTGCTTGATAAGCCACCGTGTTTCCCGTTGCAATGATTGACCGTACGGGACATCCCCTCTGCATCCGCCTTCTGCACTAGGGTAGAAAACTGCAAAATAAAATCAACTCGTTGTCCCGCTTCCAGTGCGGAAGAAGAGGCACAGGTTCATCCGATTTGCCTCCCTGCTATTCAGTGGCATTTCAGTTGCGTTCTCTCCGGGCCACACCTGAGAGCACCCGCTGACTCATTCTCATTCATGTGAGCGCATCGGCACGGGGCCCTCCGGAGCCGTGGGTGTGTGTACCCCCATAAAAGAGCCCCGCCCCTGGACAACCACGGGGAACGCCATTGGTCGGCGAGCCCAAGTGACATTTGCAGTTCGCCGGCGAGGGTTATCGTGACTGCAGATCCTCACATGCAGTGGATGAAAAAAAAAAAAGGAGGAGTGTATTCCAAGCCCACATATCAAAGGGTAATATTTGCCAGAGTGGTATGTGGGGAGGGAAGGGAGAGACTCTGCAGATAGGGATCAGTACGGGAGGAGATGTGTATGACATTCTAATAAAGGTTTGCTGATGAGAGAGCCGGGATAGGGGCAGGGAGCCTTGATGGGGAAAGAAAGAAAGAAAAACACAGCAGAGTGGAGGGCGCAAGGGCACCTGGGAATAAACAGGAGGCGGTCATCTCCTTCGGCTCAGCACAACCCTTCTGGAATTACCTCTCTGTGCTGTGCAACATGCTCAGGGATACACGCACGGGCATTCCTCCATCTCTCAGGGGGGCGAGTGCATCTTACCCGCACAGCAATTTCAGCCACATGGACTGAACTAAAGTGAATACAATGCTGTTGAATTTAAAGGTTAAAATTGTATAGGCAAGTATGCATTTTATACAAAAAAAAGATCCATATTGAATGTCTATCTGAGCATACAACTAAGAACATCTCCTTTTAACCGGGATAGCAGATTGGATCACCTTTGCAAGACTTGGAAAAAAAAGAAATCAAATCTCATTACTCCAGAACTTCTCCAGGTTGCTATTACAAGAAACAAAAAAGAAGCGCCCCCCCCTCCCCCTCCACCCTCCACACAAGTGGGGTTTTAGGACAAAGACATTGCAATAAAGTTGACTGCAAGTGAAGACGCCTTGCGGGTGTTTTTATTCCCTTTCGAGAATTACATTATTGATTCTGGTTTTCGTGCACCTGTTGCCTCAATCGCTTTTACGGCTGCAAAGCAATCTAGTGTTTTGTATAACAACATCTTCCCGCACAGACCAGAAAAGAAAAGTCCCTGCGTGTGATAGAGCGCCAAGTGTTTACCTCTTGCTTTGAGTGGATGTCATTTGAACTACCAATGCGTCAGCCCCTCTACTCGCTGGCTGCTCAAATTGCAATTCTTAAGGCCTTTTGGTGGAAGCAGAATGCAGAGTATTCAGATCCCCCCTATGAATGTGTGTACTGAGTCTGGCTTTTTACGAATTATAAAACGTTCCTTTAGGCTGAGGGAAAAGCACGGCATGAAGAGAGATGTGATGCGAGTTGAAAAGGGAAAGACAGAGACAGCGAGAAAGCGCCTGTGGTCTCAGCTTTAACGTGGCAGCAGCATCTTTTTTTTTTTTTTTCAAACAAGGTGCCTTGTGTGCTCCACTGGAGCGACGGCGCCGATTTTTTTTACTTTCTCAGTTGAGAGCAAACAACTCTTAAAAGAGGCAGGCTTGTTGTATTCGAGGGGGAGGGAGAAGAGGGGAGAGTGCGGGAACCGGGACGGAAGCGGGAGGGAGAAAGAGGGGAGTAAAGAGTCGGGTGACAAAGACCCGTCACATCCCTGACAATCCCTTCAATCACACCACCGCGCCATATCACACCCAGAATATCGCCTTGTTCCTCAGGGAAGGCGCGTTATCGGCACACGCTCCTGCAAGCTCCCAACCCAGTGGATACAAATTGGAGCCTTCTAGTAAAAAAAAAATGTCTAAATAAAGAATTGAGGAAATGTGGGTGAGGAAGATCAGGGGAACGAGGAGGGGAAGCCGGGTTCTTTTGCCAAAAGTGAAGCTCAGGTGTCAAAGACGCGGCGAGGGAGAGCACAGAGAGAGAGAACATGGCAAGGGGAAATAGCAAAAGAGGCGGAAGCTGCACTCGATGGCGGAGGGACTACAGCGGGAACCCTTCCAGGGCTGATCTCAGAACCGATTGCCTCATATTGATTCACACACAGGATGCAAAAAAACAATGAATGCTGTGGGCTTTGTGTCCGGCGGCGCACAGCGACACCTTGCACATGAAACGACAGTGCCTGGTCCAAAACCCCACAAAGGTGCCATGCGTATGTAGTATGTGTCGAATTGTTTTTAACACGTGCGATTTGATAAACCGTATGAAGACACAATGGGTAAACATAAAGAGCAGCGAGAGAAAAGAAATCACGCCTTACTGGGGGAACCCGGATGTATTCCTGCGATGGCTGACGCTGCCACAACAAGTCCACTCATGAGACGAATACAGAAACAAAGAAAACTGAACAATTCTCAAGAGTCCAAAATGTCTGACGCATCCCCTCGATCCCATCTGAGAACATATATCGTCCACCTTGCTGGCACATTTGCACCGCTAGCGAGATGCACAATTCAGATCTGCTTTGTAGAGAATGAATTCCTAGTTTATTCAATACTCCTACTTTCTGCATCATTCCAGGATCATAATGTGAAAGGAGGGTAGATGATAAGACAGTAGAGGAAAGAAGAGAAAAAGAAGGATGGGAGGTGATACGAAGGGAAGCAAGAGGAGAGGATAGAGGGAGGAGGGGTGATGATATCATAGGAAAGAAGAGGAGAGAAGGATTTCTAACCATCACAGAGGTGAGTCAGACAGATCATCAAATACTCAGACAGCCAGTCAGAGAATTGGAGTCAATGAAAGAGACTGAATTCTGTCTGGGACCTGTGAGGCAGCCAGCACACTTACACACTCTCTCTATATCACACACACACACACACACAATACCCTCGTGTTGTGTCTCGCGCAGGCAACCTTTCCACACCTTCCGAAAACAGGAAGGGAGCTCTCAGCAGGTGAGACCGCAGCAACAGCAAGCACACGTGGCCACAAGAAAAGGCTGACGATCCACACACACACACACACACACACACACACACACACACGCTCCGCGGCAGGTAGAGGAGATGATGGATCTCGTAAACCTCCAAGTTGCGTTATTGATGCCGCAGGCAGGGTGGTGATTGCTTCCTGGTAAGCAGAGATTTATGCTTCATGGCGGTGATCAGCACTCAGGCTTTTCCAAACAAGACGCCCAGGTGTCCACGGTGCAGCAAAAGTCCGGTACACTAGCCGGGTAATATCGCACTCAGTGGGAAAAGCTAGCAGTTGCTCAACAATAACCGAAAAAAAGAATATACACTCTTGAAAAAAAAAAACCCTTAGTAGTCTACTTTAACAGAGCAAATAGGACCATCTATCCTAGAGGTGCGGTAGTGAAGTGACTGCAGATATATAACATTTAATTGAGAGTTAAAAACAAGTATTATCTTCTCTTTCCACTAAATAAATAAAAACCCAATTGTTACGTCCTTGACTATTGCTGCATTATACTTTCTAATGTGCTGCAGATTAACTGTGACATAACTGCAGTTAAAGGAGGAAGCTTTTCTTTTTCACTACAACATTATAAATCTGTTGGAAACACATGTAGGCATGTCAACTCAAAGGTCCGTTTTATGTTGAAAGATTTATTTTTCTAATACCACAGATAAAGAAAAGT